AACTAACATGAATCGAAGGACAAGATACCACAAGATTAGAGCTAATGCTATTGGAATTCACAGACACAACACTCGAATACCTAACCTCCAAAACCTCCTATCTATGGTGCGTCATGTCCCCGAAAAACTGACTCGATTGTACGCCATGTACAGTCTAATCACCTCACCCAGTATTCTTTGGCCAGCCTATACATCTCCTTAGCGCAATCACTGACATCTTTCACATTCTTAATAATCGAACAATAGAAAATGAATTAAGAAAAATTTAAAAACTGGAACCTCAAACACTTGCAGAAAATCATTTAACCTGTTCTTTAAAAACCCTATTTTCAGTACACCCAACCTTCTAAACTCCTATTTTCAAATAATTTCAACCTTACTTCGAGCTTAATAAGTTGAGAGTTAGAAACTCACGAAACCCCATTTCAAATATTGCACATAAATCAGGTTTAATTTTGCACAACAACTATTGTCACCAAAACAAAATAGAATACTAAACTAAACCCTAGAGAGTTCATTGATCGGAGAGTACTTACTTGTTAATGGAAGATTTACTTGAAACTTTGAAAGGCAGAGCTCTTGAAAAGAGAGGGAAAATGGGAGTTAAACACAAACGGTAGAGAGTTCATCTATCGAAGATGGAGAGATGAAGAAGAATGTTCAGTGGAGATGGAGACGGAGAGCTCACTTCATCGACCGGAGATGGAGATTGAGAGCTTATTTCTCAGATGGAGATGGAGTGTTCGGTGGAGATGGAGTGTGAAAATGTTGAAATAAAATTGTGCCCTAGAATATATGACATAAAGAAATTTTTGCAACGGACTAAGCAACGGATTCTATCATTCGTCACTGCCAAATAAATATATTTATACACATTAAATTCTAACGACGGATTTTTTCGTCACTATTTAATATAATTTTATAAATAATATATTTAAAGGTTTAGCGACCTTTTTTCCGTCACTAATTCCGTCGCTAAATAATAATAAAATTTCTCACAACTAATTTGTTGCTAAATCCGTAGGCAATTTTGGGCGCCAAACTTTCGCGCTAATATTTAGCGATAGATTAAATATTCCGTTGCAAATCCGTTGCTATATTATAAAACAAAAATTTATTTGTTAATTTTGCAACAAAATGGTTATTCCGTCGCAAATCCGTCATTATATAGTGACGGAATATTGTTCATCGCTAATATCCGTCGCTAAACACTATTTTTTTAGTAGTGAAAGTTTTTCGTGTCCAGCACGGAAGCTCAAGCAATGGCTCGAGATGGATTGATGACAGAGATTTCCTGGCTACCTACTTGCATAGTGAGCCTTCCATCACTAGTTAAGAGCAAGACAACGTTGCTTGGGACAATATGAGTGTTCTTGTTTGTAGTCCATACTGTTGTCTTCTTAGGCATACCAACAATTGAACTTCCAACAGCATAGCCATTGGTTTGTTTGTAGTATCCAAAGGCAATTGGATCAGTAATAGTATGTTTGGATGAACCATACAGAATAACACTCCAAAGTTAAAAAAAATTATAATTAATTATTATCAACTTGTTAGAAGAGATCGGATAGGACACTTTTGTTTCAGTAATATCCTAAGTTGAGCCTTTTTGGCACTCCAACTTTGTACCCCAATGTCTGCTTTTGGAACTAATAGCTCTGACAACCTTTTGGGAATTTCGACAAATCCTTTGAATCCTCGTTTGATGTGTGGATTTTCAGCTTCTTGTGAATGGTTTCTTCGATGAATCGTCACTTGGTACCGAAATTTGGCTCCTTAGTTTTAGCATAATTGTACTTGAGCCAGCAGACCAACTGTTTTTGCTTCTACTTTTGTAACTAATTTGCATCTTCTTGATGCCTTCAATGGAACATTTACTTCATCAAAAAAAATAAAATTAGAAGCATTGTTTCCCTCACTAATAGATTTGTGATCATGCCTTGTTTCTGTTTCATGATCACATGAAGCTGATGAAGTGTTATAGATGTTGTTGTTCTCTTGAATCTTGGCTTCAATTTTCGCATTGGATTGCTCTGTTTGTAACATTTTCTTGGTTGCTTCCAATAAATATTTAGCTTCATTTGATTGGTAAGCTTAGACATGTCTCTATTGGTAAGCTTAGACATGGCTAACAAAAGCTTAAACACCTTATCTAGAACTACCATGTTGATTATTTTGTCTTTCATGCTAAATTTTATTTTTTTGTTATTGCAGAAAAGTAAGACATTTCTTGAACAATCATGGAGAATTCTAGGAATAGAAGATGGATGGATTACAGTAGAGTCAGTAAAGAGTATTTAGATGGAGTAGAAAATTTTCTAAACCATGCATTTCGTGAAAAACATAATGGAGGAACAATTTCATGCCCCTGTACAAAATGTGTGCTCTACTATCAAGTAAATCGAGCAGTGGCAGATGATCATCTCGTTGTTAATGGTATTATGCCATCATATAATACTTGGTTTTGTCATGGAGAGTCTCTCAATCGATCAACTAGTACTGAAGAAAATAATGACAGACAAGAAGCTTTAAGGAGCGCTGATATGAGAGAAATGATACATGATGTTTTTGGAAGCTTCATCCAGTTCAATGATAATATTAGTGAAAGGGAAGAGATAGCGCCAAATGTAGAGGAAAATGCTCCTCATCCATCAAGATTTCAACCTCATCCAGAGATAGATAAGTTTGAACAACTCATGAGAGATTCAAATGAAGAACTTTACCCTGGGTGCAAAAAATTCAGTAAACTATCATTTGTGCTTCAACTATACCGTATAAAACTATTATTCAAATGGTCGAATGAGTCTTTTAATGCCTTGCTTGGTTTATTGAAGGATGCATTACCTGAGGGTGAGAAGTTGCCTTCTTCATTTTATGAGAGTAAGAAGATTATTGAGGGCTTGGGGTTAAATTACAAAAAGATTCATGTTTTTCCCAATGATTGCATGCTTTTTAGGAATGAGTTTGCTAAGAAGGATGTCAATGAATGCTTAATTTGTGGGACTTCTAGATGGAAAAACAGTGTAAAACAGATTCCAGCCAAGGTACTAAGGCACTTCCTCTAAAACCAAGACTACAGAGGTTATTTATGTCTTCAAAAATAGCTAAATTGATGCGATGGCATCACGAAGAACGGAATAATGATGGAGTTCTTCGACATCCTGCATATTCTGAAGCTTGGAAAGCTTTTGACATCAGACATACAGAATTTGCTAAAGATCCTCGCAATGTTCGGTCCAGAAGGTTCGATAGCTGAAGCATATATTGCGAATGAGTGTCTGCAATCTTGCTCACTATATATGGAAGGTGGCAATTCAAGGTCTTATTGGTCTAGAAAAAATAAAGATGATACTAAACATGAGATTGATAAAGAAGGCTGTCTTTTTCCTACAATTGGAAAATCATATGGCTCTGTAGAAGTAATTAAGTTGGATCAGAAAACATGGGTGCAAGCACATCGATATGTTCTTTTCAATTGTGAATCAGATGTGGTCGACTATTACAAAAAGTGAGTATTATCTCTGTCAATTTAATTTAAGTCCTTGAATGTGTTTTCTTGATTTGGGTATTTCAAGAACTTAGCAAAGATGATAGCTTTATTTAATTTCTACCATGACTGTTGTTGTGCCGTTTTATGTACCTATGTTTGAGTTTGGAGGTGCAGGATTGTTAATTTTTGAGCAATTTCTTGATACAATTGTCTCAATTGTCTCTATACATGTTTATTCTGATGTCATGTCATTAGATGGTAGACAAGTTTTAGAGACTGAAGCAAGAGTTAAAATAAGATGGAAAGCTTCATGTTACTGTAAGAAAATCAATTAATGAACAATAATCAAACATAGGCCATTGAGTTAAAAGAAGATGGAAAACAAACTCCCTAGTGGATATATTTCTTAATTTGTTCAGTTAACTCTAGTTTTCTTGTACAGTGAGCATATTAGTGAAATCAAACGATTGCATCGCAAACGCCGCCTTACCCAACATCAGCTTAATCGCTTGCATTTTGAAAATTTTCATGAATGGTTCAAGGAGCAAGTAAGTAGTAAGATTCAATAGTCACCTACTTTAAAGTATCGTCTCTTGTACTAATATTTGTAACTACAGTTGTCTATTGCTCTTTGGGCAGGTCAAAGAGTTGGATCTCATATCTAATATCTCAAATGATGTTAAAGCCCTTGCACAAGGTCCATGTTACTTCGCAAGAAGATTCAAGGCATTCCATATGAATAATGGGTATCGATTTCGTACAAAACAGTATGAAGAGTTCATGCAGACACAAAATAGTGGGGTTCTGGTTGTCTCAATGACAGAGAGCTATGCAAGTACTAGTGACAGTGCTCCAAAATCAGGAAATATTACATATTATGGCAGACTGAATGATATTGTTGAGTTGAACTACTATGAAAAATTTAAAGTCGTCTTGTTTAAATGTGATTGGGTTGATGTAACTCAAGGTCGAGGAGTTATGAAAGACGACTTAGGTTTCACACTTGTGAACTTCTCACATCTAATACATTCAGGTGACCGAATAAGTGATGAGCCAATTGTTTTTGCTGGACAAGCTCAACAAGTGATATTTGTTCAAGATCCTGAAGATCATGAATGGTTTGTCCCTAGGTCAATTAAATCGCGAGACATTTTTGATATGGGAGAAGAAAATAGTAAACGATTTGACTCATCAATGCAGTGTGATACAACTAATTTAACTATCTTAGAAAATATTCGTGATTTAGAAGATGACAACAATGGTTGGGTAAGGGGTGGAGTTGATGGTATAGAAATCGTTACGGACTAAAATTTCAAATTCCTCCAATTGAAGGTGAGTGCATATCAACTATTTTGAAGCTACTGCAATTTATTTATTTTTCCAGCCAAGTTTCTATTACTTGTCTCAAGCTTACGCTATTTATTTTTGTCATTGTTTTAATGCGTTATCTTAAAGTCGCTTTTGATAATATTGTAGTGAGCCGTGGAAGCCTCTCTTCTTTTCCACTATCACAGATATACTGAAAATCTCCCTCCTTTTTTGCATCTGTTATAGGCCATGTTTCTGGGAGGTAGAACATTGGGATTATGTCAGGTATGTCTTTCTCAAAATCTATTTTCTTGTTATACAAAATTTTGAGGCTATTACCTTTGGTATGTCACATCGTAGTCCTTCTAGGTAACACTAGGCTTGTGGTTATCTCTGCAAAATCATGTCTTTAAGTGTGCAAGATGCTATGGCCTGTGGGTTTTGTTTGATTTCTAAGGCCTACTCATGTTGAGATTACATTGTTGATCTTCCTTTTCCCTTGTGTTGTAATTCTGATGATTGATAGTTGTGATTTATGTATGTTAACAAATCTTTTGGCATGAGTAGTCTGCTACTGCTGTTTAAACAGTTGTTTGCTGATTTTCAAAGTCACAATTTGCTAAGTAGTCTGCTACTGCATTCCTTTCTCTGTATCCTTATATCATGATTAGTGATCAACTCATTGGCTTTAATCATATTATTTCTCAAACTGTTACATAATAGCAACAACACCAATGAAGCATCTCATGAATGAGTATATAGACCATTAGGATATTATATAGTGAATAAGATATCCAATATGCATGTCAATTTTTTGTCATCTAACCATCTACCGCTATATGTGTACAGTGGCATACTCATTCAAATGGTGAGCTTGTTCAAGGAATGACACACTGATCCAGAAAGCTGTCACATTTTGCATTAGGGAACAAACACTGGCTTAATTGCCTTATTTTCTCCATTGTTGAACACATTTTTTTCTATTTTGATAATTCATAGTTTCTTTTACCGCTACAAGATAAGAAATTGAATGTATTAAGATTGTTTGTTCTTATTTTAAGTGAATGACATTGTTTTCAGTTTGGTAATTCTTCTTTACTATCTTTAAACTTATTTCTCTTGTGAATTTTGTTTTTGATGTTATAAAAGAGGGTTAAATATATGAATCAAGCTGAATCTATGATCAGTTTTTAGTCATTACAATAATTGCTTGAGTAGCAATTATTATCTCTGCCGGCAATAGCAAATGCCACATATATGCTTGTTTCTAAAGTAGCTTTAATGGCAATAGTAAAGGCTGCTAAAAGTAATTACTTTTAGCGGCAATAATAAGGGTCTTTACCGGCACCCGACACAAATGCCACTAAAGGCTTTAGCGACATTGGATCCAATGGCATTTAATCAAATGCCGGTAAATGTAGTTGTGGCAATAACTATTGCCGCTAAAAGAAAAATTAATTGCCGCTAAAGGTCTCTTTTGGTGTAGTGAATTAGTGCAGTGCAACTGCAATTTGTAAAAATTGTTGGTGTCCTTATCGGTACTAAGGTAAAAAGACAGGAAGTATTTCGATGAAATGCTCTGAATTCTTGTAAATAATTGGAAATTCCTCGGATAACTATAATTATACTTTCAGTGTGAATATGTTATGCATTACTATAGTCTCGAGAGTCCAGTGGTCTTTCTTACCATATTTAAATATGTAAACTTTCTTCCATAAGTCATTTCTATCATTGCTTAATCATTGTATCCGTTTAAAGAGTATACTTTTATTTTGGATCTTAAGATTATTCACATTCCACCCACCCTCCTCTTTTGTTCATCACCACCTTTATCAATTTTTTTTCTAAAAAGAGTTACCTTTCTCATAAAATCACTTTCTTCCCTTAGCCTGTTGATTCTTTTTTTCCCTTTGTTGAAGGTGTGAATACGTGTTTTTCGTCTCTTTTTCTTTGTTGCTTTCCTGCAGTGGCTATATTTCTTTTGAGCCGAGGGTCACTGTAAATAACGTCTCTATCCTGCAATGGTAGAGGTAAGGTTTTCATATATCCTACCATCTTTGGATTCCACTAGAGGAATTACACTGGGTATGTTATTTGTTGTATATCATGATATCATAAAATGTAAAATCGAATCTTAGATAGTTTTCCTTTTACTCAGATTGTGGAAGATGGAAATCAAGACTAATTGCTAGAGAAGTGTTTCTGCAATTGTGTTTTGAGAAGCAACCTCCATTTTATTTCTTTAGTTTTGTTAATGTTTGTATATCTCATTAGATTTTTAAAAAGGATAAATTTTACTTAATAGTAATTTTTTCTTAGGGAGTATATTGAGATATTGTCTCCTGAATGTTGTGTTTTAGTTGATCTTTATTACTATACTAGGTAAGAGTTGCCCGTGCAAGCACGGGCCCAACGCTGCAATTTTTTTGTGAGTTGAATGTAAGGATAGTGCATACATGGAGACACACACACACATAAATACGCAGATATAGTTACATATAGATATTATAAATATGGGTGGCAGTTGTTTTGTTTGTTGTCATGACTGTTGCTTACATTGGATATTTACATAATGCTGCATTTTGACTGTTTTTCAACGTTATTCAGCGCCAGAAAGTATCTGTGAAATAAGATGGAAAATGAATTTAGTGTGTAGTTATGGGGAGGAGTAAATGTGGAGAGTGATTGCAAGATATAAGTATCTGACAGTTTCCAAGAAGTAGCGGCAAAGTCCACGCTATCAACAGCAAAAGTGTGCGCCATCAACATTTATAGTAGTTGAGTAGACAAAAGGGTGGTGCCAATCATATCGCAAAAAAAGTAGTATATACTACACAGATAACAAAAGGAGAAAACATCAGTTGTTGAAGAAATAGAGTGTTGAAAAAAATATATGCTAAGTTGCATAATTTGATTATTTAGTTAGGAATAAGGTGAGTATCCTGCAGGTTGTGATCCAAATCTAGGCATAAACTAATGACTTTTCAATTCAAGGTGAACTTCTGAGGGAACATGGGTCCAAAAAACAAAAGAAAAAGCAAATGAAAGTCTACATATTGAACAAAAGTTGGAGAATGGGTTTAAAATAAGTGAATTATCAACAAGAATGTGACATCAGACAATGACGACAAAAATAGAAGTACCAAGACTTCAATTGGTAAGAAACTATTGTACACTACACTGAACAACTTTCTTAATTATTCTAAAGTGATTAAGAAGTGGAGAAAGACAATTCAACCCAAGACACTTTTATAAGATCACCTTTTCTAGTCTAGTACGTCATCAAAATCCTTCATTTCTGTACGCATCTAAACTTAACAAAAGACAAGGGCAACAAGTAAATTATTGCAAAACAAGAAACCCAAATAGTAATAAGGGGTCATGGAGTAACCAAATACAACAAAAGATAAACGCCCACATCAAAAAATTCCCAAAACATCAGAAGAACAAGAAGTTAAAGTCTAAAGACAAAATCTTAAGGAAAGCATTAGTATAATCACATAACATAAGGTAAAAAGAATGCGACTTTAGAGAGGAAAAGAGTCAAACCGGTGAAGGGTTTTACCCGAAGAAGCCCAAAAAGAGCGAGAAGAGAAAGAATGAGGAGAAAACCAAACATAAGAAGTGGTTTTAAAAGGGGAAGATTGAACAAAAAGACTCAAAAATGCCATAGGTTGGAAGTTGTGTAGAGAGAATACCTTTAGTCTTCCTTTCTCGTGATTTGCTTCAGCTTGTGTTTGCTGCTTTCTGGAGTTGTTGGTGCAGTGAGTGGCAATGGCAGGTTGCTAGCAATATCTTTTTCGGTGATTGACATGATGAACAATTTTGCTGAAGATGCATCCTTGTTTTTTGTGAACAACTTCTTTATTTGGATAGTGAATGTCTTCCCTAGCAGTTTGTGCAGCACGGGTATGGCTGTCAACAATTGTTTCTGAAAGATGAAAGGAAGTCATGTAAGATAGATTTTTAAGCAAGAGGCTGTAGAGTGTTTTACCTTGATGCAACATATTTCATGAATTTCTGCCACAGTGAAAGACAATAGTTCTTCTCCAATTTTGTTTGAAATCATAGCTGTTGTTGATCCAGTACCATTTTGGATGGTTACTTCGAACTGGCATCTGTTATGGAAGCAAAACTCAATATGTTTATGTTTGAAAAAAACTTTTTTTAAGTCAACTGGGGGGAAAAGTAAAAAATATATTAACAATTGTATATGTGTATACCTGGGTGTGAGATGTGTTGATCGACGGTAGGTTGTACAATAGAATCTTCTCTGTGACCAATTCCTTGGAAAGATTTACTTGCAGTCGGAGCAGAGTAAAACACATAATCGTTGAGTTTCATTGGATATTAACAATTGAGCTTGCACATGGAATATTTGGCCCTGTGAATATATATGAAATGGTAAATTGTATTAATAGTTTAATTTTTAAACTAAATTTAAGATGTAGATGATGTAGGTACCAAAGATTGTTGCTGGATATTGACAATAGGCACGATGTGTTCTTCAAATGACACAAACAAAAGAGATCCTGTAGCTGTGGTGCTTTTTGTTATGTATGTGCTAAGAAGTGGTTTTATTTCATTGGATCTGTATGTAAGTTAAAAATGTTAAGATGTGAATACATTTTTTTGTTCATAGAAAGAGGTGTATTTTGAATACCATGTCTTTAGTTCGATAGCTTGTGAGTATGGGGGACCAATCTGGATTGTTGTACTAAATCTATTTGAAAGGCCTGCACATTGTTGAATAGTTGGTGTTAATTTGAGCAATATGTGTTTCAGCATATGAGAAATTGTTAGTATGTCTGTACTTCACCTGAAGATGATTTTGGTTTGGCTACTTTTCTGGCAAGAATTACTGGGAAATCTTGAAGTTCTTTCAGATGTGTGAGAAGTTTATTCCCATATAGGTCTATGAATTCTTCTCAGAGAGTGAGTTTTGTTGATTTTTTTCTTGTTTACATAGAAAAAAGATAAACAGTGTTATAATAGATCCTAGCTTAATGTAAAACTGCAAGCAACAGTATAGAATTTGGTTGTAAGGCATTTTGATTTCTATAACATTTCTGAATTGCCAGAGAGTAGTAGGCACAACCAAATAAAAAAACATCAAGTGAATCTTTCATTGTCATGATTTTGCAAACAACTATTTAGAGTTAAAACTTTTCTCACGAAAAGCAACACAGTAACAACATTAAACAAAAGAAAGTAAAGAAGACTTTTGAATAGAAAAAAGATAAACAATGTTATAATAGATCCTAGCTTACATAGATGCAAGCTAGAATGGAAAAAAGTTTATGGAAGAAAGTTTTTTTGAGAAAAGGGTGCTACAATAGTTGCTTAAATTGAGTATAAAAATGTCTTTTCAATAAGAATATGTAAAATTGCAAGCATCAGTATAGAATTTGGTTGTAAGGCATTTTGATACGCATTTTGATTTCTATAACATTTCTGAATTGCCAGAGAGTAGTAGGCACAACACCATGTGACAACTAATTAAAAAAACATCAAGTAAATCTTTCACTGTCATGATTTTGTAGACAACTATTTAGAGTTAAAACTTTTCTCGCAAAAAGCAACACAGTAACAACATTAAACAAAAGAAAGTAAAGAAGACTTTTGAATCTAGTGGAGACAAATTATTGCGAGCTTCAGATAAACAAGTGAGATTCTTAGTTGGCATCAATCCATAAAAAACATACACAGAACTCTCTAGCCTCTTTTATCAAAGAACATACATGGCATAATTCCTATTTGGGCATCTACTGCTTCAGATATTCAATGTCTTGATTACGTATATTTCAAGCATGGTTGTTATTCCATTATTTGTGTTGTTGTGTTCTGCCCTAACAGAAGGTGTGATTGCTTGGATCAACATCGGAGTTAAAAATTGTAAGATCCCATGCTCTTTGTCTAATCGTGCATAATATGTGTGGCGTAGAATGACATGGTTATATGAGGTGTATATGACTTTGTATCATACATTGGAGATTAAAATTTCAAATATGTGGCAATATCAAGGAACTAAACTAAAGTTTTAGGTCAAAGGGACCCCTCAAACAAAGTTCATGACTAAAGAAATGGCTCGGGTAGAACTTCGCCGTTTGAAATGTTTAAATTGTCCCATACCTTGTGGATAAGCCTATGAGTGTAAAACATGCTAATAATAGTGTGTTATGAGGTATTATAATAGCACAAGGGTCGTATGTTAAGTTTGGAAGTCAAGAAAATTAGTGAAACTAAAGTCGGCAAAAGTTATCGAAGTTTCTCTAATAATATTTTCTTAACTTTGGGTCAAATGTCTTGGATGTTTTCTCCCAATATACAAAGATTTAGAAGTCCTATCACCTATTAAATCGAAGTCCTACGAGTGTAGTTTGCAACGCACAAAACCCCGTAT